TCCATCTATGACTTGGATTTAGTGTGTTGATTAACATATGTTTGTTTCACAATATGTTTGTTCAACATATATTTGTTCCTCAAAGTGAATATTTTTTATGTTCTGTGAAACAAAAGATACAACTAAAAAGTTTATGAAACGAATACATATGAAACAACACATTGTGAAACAAATATATGTTAATCAATATATTAAATCCAAGCCATAGATGAAAAAAATATGTGAAATAGCACATGATGTACCAGTTCTCAAGGCTATCACAAGTTATTGGGTTCTCACTTAAGCCTTCACACACACACACACACACACACACACATATATATAGGGGCAGATCAAATGAAAAACCACAAAAATATTACAAACCTTTGAGAACGATTTTAAAATAATGTGATAGTTTCACAATGTATTTATTTTACCACGTTAATATTTTTTATGTAAATTTTCTGTTTCACCAAGTGAGATAAAAAAAAGTTTCACATATAATTTTTTTACAGGATAAACACAAACATACGTGAAACAATATCTTAAATTATAGTTTTTTGATAAAAAAAAAATCATATACAAATATTTTTATATCGATATTGACGAGTTTATAACTTTTTTGTCATTGTCATTTAATTATCATCTTATATATTGTGTGTGGGATAGAAAGATGAAACACAAGTATCACATGTAGATATACCTTTGAAAATACTTGCATTAATGGAGGAGATATTGAATTAGTGAAAAAAACGGAAGGTATGAAGGAATTTGCAGCGGCCGTCGATTTTGAAATAAAGAAGTAACTTGAAAAGTGAAAAAGGGAAATAAAGGTCGGAATTCTGGTAGGGTTAAATGCTACCCGATTATCAAATGGAAATTTGGGTTCCATTTTTTAAGTGCATATTTATTTCTTTTTTAAGAGCACATTAATTTTAACTAAAACGATTAATATCAACTGTCGTACCTCTTATGAATTGATTATGGTTGCGATCATTGTGGTCGCTACTTTGTTTCACTTTTGGTCCCTTAAACTAACCTCTATTAAATGGGTTTAGGGTTTCCTTTAAGTTAGGGGTATTTTAGTATTTTGGTCTTTTTACATTTTCAAATAAAAAGTAAGTATTAACTATAGAGTAAATAACAGATTTGGTCCATAAGATATGTTAGAAATTACAGATTTAGTCATTTATCTTCATGTACTTTTTTCTTGAATAATCATCTTCCATTAATTAACATTATCATGAACACCAAGAACATCATCATGAATACATACAAATTTAACTAAAAAACACATAATCAAAAACCTTAAATTAAACCCCAAATCAATCCAAATCCAATCGCAAGAGCACCAAGAACATTTAAAAATTTCCAAATTCAAAGACTAAATCAAACCCTAAGCCAAATCCTAAAATCAAAAACTAAATCAAAATCCAAATTAAATTCAGAATCAAAAACTAAATCTTACCCTAAAACCAAAACTCAAATCGGAGACCAACATCAAACGAAAACCAAGATTTTTCGTTGATAAAGGATCGATTTTAGGTTAGATCTAGTTGGGAAAATGAGGATTCATGGAAGTTGAAGATGTATGGAACATATATACATACATACATATATATAGGTGAGTTATTATGCACCTATTTACATTTGTACAACCAATACAATTCAATCTCAACTGTTCATTTAATTTGATGAATATGTGATTTCATAAAAAGTTTAGATCGTTTTAAATATTAAGTATTGATCATAATTAATGAAGTTTAGTCATCTTTCATAAATATGCAAATCATAATAAATGAACTCTCATCATTTTCATAAATATCTCAATTGATTGGGTTGCATTGGTTGTACAAATGTGATGGGTTGCATTTGAAACATCATATCTCTCTCTCTCTCTCTCTCTCTCTCTCTCTATCTATCTATCTATCTATCTATCTATCTATCTATATATATATATATATATGTGTGTGTGTGTGTGTGTGTGTACCAGATCCCGACAGGCATACCCACTGGTTACCTCCCACCATCGGCGTCTAATACCACGCCTCCAACATCCTACCCCAACCTTCGTCTTGTGTGTCCAACACCTATCCCTAAAGATCCACCTTCTCCCACTGTCGGAGATCCTTTCGTCCACTATCACCTGCAACGAGATTTGAGCCATCATTCCCATACAGACCCCAGATCTTGTTCAATCCCTCTACACCCAAAGGAACGGTTCCATCGAGCCATGAATCTTATACGTGTCGTGTAATCGAGTTCTTAGAGAAGAACGCCTGCAATCGACCCATCGTCCCTATCCCAAATATCGTTCCCCTAAACCATGTTGGAGAAGAAAACCTCTTTCTAGGATTGTGTCCTTGCGTTTAAATCCAGGTTTGTGTCCAAATATAAATATAATAATAATAACAATACATTTATTTAATTTTTATAATTGAAAATAAAAAAAATAGAAAGACGAAAATACCTCTGACTTAACAGACCTATTTAACAGAAGTTAGTCTTAGAGACCAAAAGTGAAATACAATAGCAACCACAGTGACCAAAACTGTATTTAGTTTAAAAGAGGGACGAAAGTTTATATATAGTAGGTAGCAACCACTGGGACCAAAAGTGTAATTTACTCTAAAAATGATATATTGAATATATTTTTGTACATATCAAGGGCATTTTTTTACACCTCGCTCAGAGCATATAAAATGTCAAGAATGGGTCTGTTTGTACATCGGTTTTTGTTTTATGTTTAAGGAACAAATTAGAGTGACGTGTCTCGAACTAGGTTTGGAATAAGTGGATCGACCACTTTCGTGAACCACTAGACATCGACGTGTTTGTTTCTCTCTTCTCTCAAATTATATTTGGACATATGTATTTGTGTGTGGAGTGAAAATTTTCAAAAATTGATTTATTGTGTCAATTAATCAAGAAACCTCCCCCCCTCCCGACCAGGGTTGCGTAACAGGTTTGGTAGGGCGGGATCTTGTTAAGTGTATAATTGGTTTTTATAGGATTTTGACCACACGTTGCAACCAGGGGCGGAACACGAGACTTATAACCGAGGGGGCCAAAACAAATCTTTTTTATAAATATGTCATGTAAACATGTAGTGTTATATATGGATTTTTTAACCAAATTTTGTATATTAAAAACTAGGGTAAAGACGACCAAGATAATATTCCAAAGTAAAAACTCTTAGAATCTAGCTTCCTTGTGTTTTACATACGTAATATATGTAATTTGAAATTTTCATGGCGTTCATCATTCCACTACAAAAAAATGGCTTTATACGACATCATACATCATAGATCTTAGTTTTATAGGACCAAAATATAAATATTTATATCTAAAGTCATTACAATAGGTTTATAAAACGTTTTTAGGCATTTTAACAAGTTCTTTAGGACGCTTTAAGATAAAGTGTCCTATTAGCTATTTTATTGGACAACTTTTAGAAGTGTTTTATAAACTCATTTTTTTATAGAACATTTGTGTTTACAGAACACTTTTTCAAAGTGTCATATAAAATAGTTAATATTACACTTTATTATAAAATCGTCATAAAAAACTTGTTACAATGCATAAAAACGTCATATGAACTTATTGTAACATTTTTAGATACGACACTTTTTGGTTTAGTCTTATAAACTTAAGTCCTATAATATATTTTTTAGGACGCTTCTACATTTTAGGTGTGCTAGAAAATTAATTTAGTTATAGTTATTATAATAAGAAACTGATGTATTATTTTGATATTCTTAAATTGAATCTTCCTTAAAAGTGATTGTTCGTTTACTAAAATTAGTTACACTGTTTGAATCTTGTCTTCTGATCGAGCTCAATAACATATTTTATGGATTTTGATCTCAATCCGTTAATACATACTCTTCTAACCCATGAATTAACACGTTTTTAAAATAAAGTGTCATGTTAATTAACATGTTTTAAAAATAAATTGTCTTATTAATTAACATGTTTTTAAAATAAAGTGTCCTATTATAGGACACTTTTGAGAATTGTCTTATAAAACTGTTTATTTATAGGATATTTGTGTTTATATAACATCTTTTCATATAGCGTTCTATAAAATAGTTAATATTACACTTTATAAAATGCATAAACGCCTAAAAATGCCTAAAATGCAAAAAAAAAAAAAAAAAAAAACATCCTATAAACCTATTGCAACAGTTTTAGATAGAACGTTTTTTGGTTTGATCCTATAATCATCGTAAGTCCTATAAAGTATTTTTCTAGAACACTTCTATATTTTAGGCATCCTATAAAATTATTTTTTAGTGAGAATTGATATTTTATAACTCTTGATCTTCTATATTGGTTATTTTGATAGGTATGAAAAATCCATTTTGGAAAAAAAAAAAACTTGGATTCTCATTTTTAAATACCAAGAGTGAAGAGGCCAAATTTCAATTTTTTATAAAACTTGTAGTACTATGCATAATATTATATTAATAAATCAAAATAGCAGGAAGGGGGCGGGGGGGGCATGGCCCCCATATCCCCTTAGGGGATCCGCCTCTGGTTGCAACTTAAAATCATGCATCGAGACAATTGAGTCGAAGAAAATTTTGCAGTTGGTAACACTTAGGTATAATATTTATGCAGTGCACCCTAAAATTAGATATCCCTTTTAATTAATTACATAAAGTTTATATATCTACTTTCTTTATTGTGATCTCTAATTTTACAAATATTGGTTTCAATGTGCGTGTATCGATCATCTTCGCCAACAATCATCACACATCTTAATTTTTTTGTTAAACAGCAAAGTTGTGTATGTGTAAGTTGGCTCGCTTTTTAGTGCAAAAGCTTCCTCAAATTGCAGATGGCACTATGAAAATTAAAATATAGATGGAAATTGAAAACATTTAAAAGCATGCAAACAAAATAGAAAGAAAGGTAGAAGGCGCAACTTGAGGGTGATGTATTAAATACCGTATTGAATTATATATGTGCACTCCATCATAAATTGTGCGAAGTTTCAAATATAAAAAAAAATAAGGAATTCTGATTGAAGGTGACAGCAGCCTCAACCATTAAGTGCTTCCTATATAAGGGGGCCACTCTACCATTTGTTATGCACCACTCATCAGGACTAACAAGAGAGATTGGAGGGCAGCATTAATTTTCTTAAACAACACTTTGGTTTGTATTATAGAGAAGATGGTTGGGAATTTGGCTCACCTCACTCTTGCTTTTGGCCTTCTTGGTATATACTTCGTGCATTCGCTCTGTGTTCCCCTCTCCTCTTCTCTCCTCTCCTCCCCTTCGTCTATATTTTCATATATCGTTGACGATTCTGCTGCTAAATCAAAGTTTTTTTTTCTGATATTTGCAGGCAATATTGTCTCGTTTATGGTATTTCTTGCACCAATGTATGCCTCTTATATATGTTTCTTCTCATTTTACCTATTTTCGAAGTAAACTATATATATATAGTTTATCTGGTTATGTTACCTCACCTTTCTGACATAATTAAGTAAAAAATGCAGACCAACGTTTTATAGAGTATACAAGAAGAAATCAACGGAAGGGTTTCAGTCGGAGCCTTATGTGGTGGGCTTATTCAGTGCCATGCTTTGGATATATTATGCATTGCTCAAGAGCAATGTCTTGCTCCTCATCACCATAAACTCAGTTGGTTGCTTCATTGAAACATTGTACATTTGTTTCTTTCTGGTCTACGCACCAAAAAAGGCTAGGGTATGTACTAATCTTTCTTTTGCGGTGTGTTTTAACGCTCATGGCTATCATTAAAGAAGGTTGGACTAACAAAAAGAAACTTGGTTATGCAGATGGAGAGTTTGAAGCTAATTGTACTGCTAATAGTTGTTGGGTTCGGATTGATTGTGGTCCTTACTCAGTTCTTTGCCAGTGGAGTTACCCGTGGGGTCATAGTTGGATGGATTTGCCTTGTGTTTTCTTTGTGTGTTTTTGTAGCACCTTTGGGGGTTCTGGTAAGCGTATATGCATGAACAGATGACATGTTTTCCCCATGTAATTAACACAAGAAAAAACAATGTTTGTGTTAGTTTTTTAACTGTGTCGTACACACTTTGTGCAGAGACAAGTGATTAAGACAAAAAGTGTAGAGTACATGCCAATTTTATTATCAGTAGCACTTACTCTCAGTGCTGTTATGTGGTTCTTTTATGGCCTTCTTCTTGGTGACTTCAATATCGCGGTACGAAAACAAAAAGAAAATCTAACTCATTCAGTCACTTCTATTCCCAAAATTCATCTCCAACTCTAAGAGATCCAATTCTGTTTTTTGGCTTAATGAGTTTGTGTATGATCAACTTCTTTTACAGATTCCAAATGTACTTGGATTCACCTTCGGCATTATTCAAATGATACTGTATTTTGTATACAAGAACAAGAAGCCAATTATCAACGAAAAGATGTCCGAAAAAGGAGAACAAAAATACACAATAGGCAAAATGGAGGAGCAAAAGATGGTAGAAGTAAAAGATCACAAAACGATAGACGTTGTGAAATTGAGTGCTAATTTGTTGTCTCCGGATGTTCTTCCAGTGGTTGCCAAACTAAAAGAAAACGAACACGATGCTGTTCCTGTAGCTGTTCATGAACCCGAAGCTCGCCCAACTGTCCCAAATCACATCATTGAAGTCGCTGTATGAGATCGAGATATATCTGTACAGACAGTACCTTGTCGTTTCGACTCAGAAAAACAAATAAATATGTAGACATGACTTGAACTTGCGGATTCTAAATGTGCATTCTCTACCAATTTATCTACTCTAACTCCGTATGTTTCTTTTATTGAAATTAATAATTATTAATAAAAACATGTCTGAGGTTCAAAAATGAGTGCATGCACATATATGTCGTTAATTATTCTTCTTTCCTAAAGGGGTGTTTGGGATTGCTTATTTGAAACAACTTATGTTTTTCTATAAAAGTGTTTATCAATTTATTGTAAGTTATAATAATTTAACTTCTTCAAAAACTACTTATTACTGGTTTGACACCAGTATAAGTTGTTTATCCAAACACTCAAAAGTGCTTATTGTCGGTGTCACACTGAAATAAGTCATTAAGTTGTTTTTATAAACAATCTCAAACACCCCCTTAATGAAATATAGTCCCCATAGATTAAATAATAAATTTAACATGATTCTGGTTCATTTTAATCCATCGGCATACGCCAAGAAGCAAGAGCAAGAGTGATATATTTGGTTTATGAGTAAATTTTGATCATCGTACAATCAAATACGGACCTAGAAATTTTTCTGATTACAAACACAAAACAATTAACATAATAAAAATTAATTGAAAATATGGTTTAACTAAAAATGACATATACGTGGTTTTTACAACACCGAAATAGTTTTCTTTCTCTGTTTTCCTTCTTTGACGTTGTTCTTATACCAAAAAAATGTAGAAAACGATCAAAACGAGTCAAACTTACAACCACTTTGTCGATTTAGATAAGCACATATCAAGTTAAAGTTATTACAACTTGCACCTTTCACACTCCTAACTTTTTTTCCATTACGAGTGGGTGAATAGACACCCCTATAGCCTAAGCCTAAATCCGCCCACGTGTCTGATCTCTCTACGACACATAACCATCCAAGTTAATTTAGAATACGATTTAAAGAATAAATAAAATAAACATTTTAATTAATCTAGTCGATAGTATATATTGCATTAACTATTAATAGAAGAAAATGAGGCTAAATGATTGAAAATTACAAGCACAGAAAAAGGAACCGCACACGTACGTACACACTAGATGTAGCCACCAAGATCGTAAGATATAATTATAACTGTATTATGATCTAATTTATATTAACTGAGTTCTTTAAATCAAGATTTATAAAAACAACTTAGTAACTTATTTCTATGTGCCACCGATAATAAGCATTTTTTAGTGTTTGGATAAACAACTTATACCGGTATAAATTGAACCCTCCTGACTTATAATAAGTTGATAAGTGTTTTTGTAAAAAAGCATAAGTTGTTTCAAATAAGCAATCTCAAACACCCGCTTAATAGAATATGCGTGTTTAATTAATCAAATCAATTATAGAGTATAGTAAAGGAGATGCAATATATATGGACGATATCGATGGATGTAAGAGATTAATTGTTGTTTCAAGATAAAAAGGGAGCCAAAATCAAAAAAGACGATGAGGTGAGATTACGCGACCCATTATCCCATGTTGGCAAAATGTTCACATCTCCTTGTCGATCTTTTAAACCTTTTTCTTATAAATGAGAAATGTGCGTTAAATGTATATATTATTGTAACAAAATCAAGTTTATAGTTTTTGGAATCGAATAATTTCATGTATTACGTAAAAGTGTTAAAATAAACTTATAGAACGTAATTGATCTCGTCTCAGCAAGTTTTTTTAAAATAAAGTATTATATTAACTTTTTTATAGGATATTTTGGAGAAATACCTTATGAATATATAATCTTTTAAAATAGGGCAATTGCATGAAAAGATAACGTATTTTAACTTGATTCATATTTTTGGTAATGTACCTTCAAAACTTTCATTTTGGTATCTAAGATGTAAAGTTTTAAACATTTAAGTATGCGAATAACCGGTTGAAGGATAACCGGTTACCATGTTGATGTGGTGAGTGATGTGATGTCTGGTTCACGTTTTAGCAAATAATATTGAGTTAGATACTACATCACTCGTCACATCAGCATGGTAACCGGTCAATGTTCCAAACGATTACTCGGGTGCTTAAATGTTTAAAACTTTACATCTTAGGTACCAAAATAAAAGTTTTGAATTGAAAGTACGTTACCTAAAATATGAATCAAGTTAACGTGCGTTACTTTTTCATGCAACTTGCCATTTTTTATAATATAATATAAATATTCATCAATCATTTCTTAATTCTTTTTATCCAAATCCTAACGTAATTAGGTGATATGAAGGACTTTAACAATTGTCATCAATCCATATATAAAGAATGATAATCAAATGATTAATGGGTTCATCTCCATCCAACTTTCATATATTTTGCAAGTTGTTGCGGGAAATAATGCATGCTCCAGGAGGAGTTCTTTTTCCAGGCACATAATTAATATATTTAAAATCACTAATTTTGGTTTTTATTATTTTCAATTAATCCATCATCTCGACTTTAATTAAAAAAGTCGATATATAAATCTATTCTACAACAGTATTTGGCTTGATGGGGTTCCTCTCTAGCTAGGATTACGTACGACCAACAAAACCGCCCAAAAAACATCGTCATGTGTGTGGTGAAAGAGATGGTTCGAGATGTTTACAGTCAAAACTGATGTCTTCGATCTTATTTGTATCGTGGACAATTATGTTTCCGTTATAAGAACTTAAGAAGAAACATTGCTATATATCCACAATGGTCTAGAAACTACTTGTTATTGGTCATGTTTCCTTCGCATAATTCAAAAACAAACTGTATTATAATATTACGTATACGTAACTAACTCTTATAAAAGAATTAAATTCAATTGTCTGATAAGAACGAGTGAACAACAAATCCATAAATACGTCAATAAATTTCCAAGATGTTTTAGAACATATATACATTATACGTTTCCAGTAACTTCAATTAATAAAATATAGTAACTTATATTGGATTATTTGATAAGAACAACGAATTCAAAGATTTTTTAGAACATGAACTATAAGTTTCGAGTGACGCCAATTAATCCGACCTTATCGACTATGAAATCAACCAACTTTTTCTTCGTGTCGATGTGATATGGGGTTTTATAATAATGAAATGATGGTGGGGAGTCTTTAAGAGGTCATATTCATTAATTATCATGGTAGGTAACAAGCCTCTGGTGCATGAGTTAATGTCCCAAATGCCCTACGCTAAAGGAAACCATTTTGTAAAATTCAAATAGCAACTTTCATGTTTAATGCTGATTTACCAAAAGAAAGGGCAAGTGAATGCAATCATTCCATCGTAGTACAGAAAATAATATGCACCACACATTCCCAAAACCCTAAAATCGTATGTATCGTGGAATAATGGACATCGTTTCATGCGGTTTCTCGCCTCTATTTTTTTGGTGATTTAGCGTTATATATTGTTATTGATGTCGTACACATAAATTTTAGAGTAATGGGTGGATCAAGCAAAGCCGGTTCTAGTTTTATGCAAAATAGGGTAAGAAAGCGACTTGCTGCCTCAATCACGAAGGAATATCAATTCAAGAGTATATATAAAGAATAGTCCAAAGGTTGGTTTAATTATCCTCGTCTATGATCTTTCTAAATTTGATTTTGCTTTTTGAGTTTCGGCTCCAAATGTCAAAAGTGTTTGGAGGTCCCTGGTTCAAATCCAAGAAGGAATACAAATTCTTTTGTGTCTATGGACGTTCATATGCGGTGACTCCGGTTTATGCGCAAAACAGGTGGTCGTCCACTCGTATAACGGGTTGGATATCAGGTTAATAATAAAAAACTAAAAAAAGACAGTTGGTTACGAATGAAATACATATACAGATTGTTTACTCGTGAAAATGCACTAGAATTTATAATTTTATTGTAAATTAAAGAAATAAAAATTAAAAAACCCCAAAATTATATTTAAACAAAATTGAAATTAAAAGCGGTTGCTTATCATGGTTTGCTACTTCGAAAATCTGATTAAAAGAATCTGGAATACATCAATATTTGTCAAATTAAAGATAAAAAATTATTATTTTATATAGTATAATTAATTTATTTTAAATATTTTTACATTTAAACTTTAAATCCGTTTAAAATATAAGTGATTATTTTATAAATTAGTAAAAAATAATATTTATCTATATTATATTATAAAGCATTTGACAAAAACTCTTAAAAACCATTTTTTATGTATAAAGTACTGTTTATTAATGCATGTTACTTGAAACTCAAAACTACAAGTAGATTGTGTGTAAGTACAACTTATTAAAGCTCCATATCTAAATTCGTGTAACTAACTGCAGAYAAACACAATCAAATATAGGATAAACATCTCATTTTAAATATAAAAAATATAAAATATAATTAAGATAATCATTGAGTTCTCTTAATTATTATCCTTATAAAATGTTATATTATCAAAACCAAAAATAAATTATTTTATTATTAACTTAAAATAAATTAAATAAAAAATAAGAGTTTTTAAATAGTTGATTAAATATTAACATAGATATATATTTTTTTAAATTTATAATATCCTTAAATTTATATTTTTTCAAAAATCAAATCAAATTATTGCCTTAAAACACATAAAATCGTATTATAACATCGATAGAGACAAAGAATAAAATAAAACATTAAAATCGAGATTTATCTCACTGCATTGCACGAGTATGCTTCTAGTTACAATAGATGTTAGGCAATGGCCATCACAACCCAACCCAAAGTTACTTGGGCTCATTATATTATTGATTGCTGAACCAGTGTGGTTCTAAATTGAGCCATTCATTTCAGATGACAAAGCTATTTGGGCTGACCCCCGGTTTCGATGTGTGTGATTATTGTGAAATGGGCCAAGTTCTTTTTCTACTAACTTTACATCTTTTTTAATTGTACTTAGATAATTACCTAAGTATTATTTAAGTAAAAAGTTGATTACCAGCGACCGGACTCACATAAAATCACCTCCAAAAGACGCTAATGTGAGAGGGGGGTTGGTTTATTCAGTGGATAAGGCTAGCTGAAAGTCCGGGAGTAAACCTTGGACCTGTCTTGTATTTGGACAAAGTCAATTTACTTCTTTCCTAAATGAGCTACACGCCTAAGTTTTATTAATATTTTAAATCAAAACAAAGTCCATAATTCATGAAATATAATTTTAGTAATTAAT